CCCATCCAGCTGTTCACCTAGCCCCACCCCCTTGTTCACCTGGCCACTTCCAGCTGCTCACCTGGCCCCACACACTTGTTCACCTGACCACTTCCAGCTGTTCACCTGGCCCCACACCCTTGTTCACCTGGCCACTGGGCAACACCGGCAGGGCTGGTTTACTCCTCACCCAGAGGGGTGGACCTCCCCATCTCTTGAGGTTGGGGTTACGTGCCTAACACCAGAAAGCCCCCTAGTCACATCTGCCCACATGCTGACTACTGCGCAGCAGGGAGAATGGCAAGGAAGGTGGATGCCAGGCCTCCTCAAGACAGCCATGTGTGCCGATGTGGCCAGGTGCCCCAAGGGTGCCCACCATTGGAGCATCTCTCAATGGACTATCCTGGGACCCTAACAGCCCTGCCTGTTAGCTTTGATCTCAGAGAAACAGCTGTGTTGGGACCCTTAGACCCCTCGTCCCTTCCAAGAGCGCTGTCCTCCCCCCACCAGAGTACCTTACTGGTCGCCATGCCCTGAGGGCACGCCTGCTGCCAGGTTCACAGACCACCTCTTGTTCCTGAGAGCAGGGAACTTCTGGCTGCTGTTTAGAGTCTGCCCCACCAGGGGCATCTCTGGCCTCACCTGATCCCTCATTCCTGTTCACATGCCCCACCCCCTTGTTCCGCTGACAACTCTTCAACTTCACCTGGACCACCCCCTTGTTTGTATGACCATTTCCCCCTTGTTAGCAGGACCACACACCCATGATCCCCTGACCAATGGGCATACCGGCCGGTCTGCTTTGCTCCTCGCCCAGAGGGGTGGACCTCAGGGTCTCTGGGGGTTGGTTATGTGCCTAACCGCCAACAGGCCAAGAGTTACCTTCTGCCCACATGCTGAACGCTGCGCAGTGGGGAGGACAGCAATAAAGGTGGATGCCAGCCCTATTCGCAGAGATCGGGAGGTCCACTTCTCTGTGTGAGGAGAAACCAGCCCGGCCAATGTTCCCCAGGGGTCAGGTGAACATGTGGTGGGGGCCTGGGAGCAGGAGTTTAGGAAAAGGTGAAAAGCTACAAGTGGTCAAGTGAACAAGGGGAAGTGGTGGAATGTTGAAGGGTGTGGGGCCAGGACTCAGGGGTGGGCAAACTTTTTGACTCGAGGGCCACAGTGGGTTCTTAAACTGGACCGGAGGGCCAGAACAAAAGCATGGATGGAGTGTTTGTGTGAACTAATATAAATTCAAAGTAAACATCATTACATAAAAGGGTATGGTCTTTTTTTTTTTTTTTTTAGTTTTATTCATTTCAAATGGGCCGGATCTGGCCCGCGGGCCGTAGTTTGCCCACGGCTGGGCCAAGTAATCAGCCAAAAGATGGCCGGTGAACAAGGGGGTAGGGCAAGATGATCTTAAAGAGTGGTCCAGGGAACAAGGGGGTGGGGGCAAGTGACCGGCCAAAAGTGGTTATGTGAACAAGGGGGGCGGGGCCAGATGGACAGCAAGAAGTGATGACGTGGCCCGGGACCCAGGGGATGGGCTGAGCCCAGGTGAACATGATCAGGCGAGCAAGGGCTTGGGGCCAGGTCAACAGCTGGAAGGGGTCCAGTGGATAGGCTGGTGGGGCCACGTGAGTGCAGAGGAGGGTCACTAGAGGGAGCCAACGCCCCACCGCCCTGTGTCCAGACTCTGGGTGGCAGCAAGAAGGGCCCTGCCCTCAGGGAAGGGCGATCCCTGTGAATGAGGCAGAAAGCTGGCCCTCAGGGCCTGGCCACCAGTGAGCGACTCTGGAGGGGGCAGGACAATGCAACCAGGATGGAACGGGTTTTCAAGGGCTTGACACAGCTCTGTCCCCGATTTCAAAGCCCACAGGCAGGGCGGTCAGGGTCACAGGCCAGGCCAGTATGAGATGCCCCCATCGTGGAACCATGTGTGGTTTCCTAGGTTCTTGGACTTCCCATGGCTGTCTTAAGGGGGGGGGGGGGCTGACATCCTCCTTCTTGCCCCCCTCCCTACGGGGTAGGAGGCATCCTGTGAGCAGAAGGTGGTCTGGGGCTGTGGGTGTTAGGCACTTAAGCCAACTTCCAGAGATTGGGCAGTCCACCCCTCTGCGTGAGGAGCAAAGCAGCCTGGCCAGTAAGCTCAGTGGTCAGGTGAACAAGAGGGCGGGGTCTCGGGAACCAGGGGGAGGGCCTACATGACCATTCAGAACTGGTCAAGTGAAAGAGGGCCCGGTGAACAGCTGGAAGTGGTCATGTGAACAAGGGGTGGGTCCAGGTGACCAGATGGAAGTGGTCAAGTCAACAAGGGCCAGGTCAACAGCTGGAAGTGGTCAAGGCGATAAGGCTGGTGGGGCCACGTGAGTGCTGAGGAGGGTCAAAAGAGGAAGCAAACGCCCCACCTTCCTGTGGTCCAGACTCTGGATGGCAGCAAGAAGGTCCCTGTCCTCAAGGAAGGGGATCCCCATGAATGAGGCTTAAAGCTGGCCCTCAGGACCTGGTGACCAGTAAGTGACTCTGGTGGGGGCAGGAAAGTGTTCCCAGAATGGAACGGATTTTCAGGCACTTAACACAGGCCTTTCCCTGGTATCAAAGCCCAAAGGCTCGGCTTTCAGGGTCGTAGGACTGTCCAGGTCTGCTTTTCTCCAGCCCTCTTGGGTCACTGGGCCTGAAGATGGAGTCATGTCCACCTTGTTCGTCCGTGTATCTTGTAGACTGCTGCCCTATCCCTTTCTTACATTTTTTAGCTCTGCAGATTTTGCCATCTATACCCCATTCCATCATGGAATCTTCCTGCTTCCCATTTTCCAACCAACCGTCTCCTCCCACAACTCCAGAATTCTTCAAAACTGAAGGTCCTCTGATGTAAGGTCTCTCAATTGTACTAAGATCCTTTCACCAACCTCGTCCCTATCGTTTATTTCCTCACCCTTCTCCTTGACCAGTCTAGATTCCATGGCCCAGCGTAATTGTCACACGCTGTCAACTCTCATGCCTGTCTCTCCATTAGACTCCTCTGACCAAACTCCTGCCTTGGTTCCATCCACTTTCCATCTACTCCCCGTCTGCACCTGGCAGCTGGAGGTGGCTGGAGAACCCTCTGGACCATGTTCGCTCGCTCTTTTGAGATTCATGACCAGTTGCTTCCCACGGGCCCTTTGTGCTATTCCCAATCCTCCCCACAGTGCCTTGTCCATCCACCCTCACAGCCCAGACACGACACATCGCCTCAGATCGCCAGCATCTCCCAGCCCCTCTTCACTGGTGAGGTCCTGTTTCCTTCTTCACCGAGAAGATAGAGGCAACGGGAGACCTGGCTTCCTACCCCACACTGTTTTTTCTGCCCCATACACTGCGCCCTCGCTCCTGTTCCTGTGGTCCAGCCCGATTCTCTTATCGAAAGCCAACACCTCCACTTTCCCGCTGAGCCGGTGCCCTCTCACCGACTCACGGAGAAAACTCTAGAAAGTGTCTTCTCTTCGTCCCTCTCGCCCGCCTTGTCCTGTTAGTAGCAACTAGACACAGGCCGTGATAGCTCCCGCTGTGATAGCTCCCATCTTAGAAATCAAACCGGTGAACACATTTCCGCCTTGTCCTCACGTCCTTTTCAACATCGGGTCCATTTTCCTCCTCCTCTGTGTGCAGACCTCCTTGGGAGTTGCTGGTACTCACTATCTCCAGATTTCTGCAACTTCTTTCTTTTTGAACCACTTAAATCCAGGGATTCTCCCCACCATTGCACTAAGGCGACTCTTTCCGAGCGCATTCGTGGCCTCGGAAGAGTCAAAGCGGATGGTTGATTCTCGGTGCTTCTCTCGCTCAAACAATCAGCAGCCTGTGACTCAGTTGGCCATTCCCTCCTCGTGGCTTCCGGGTCATCCCTCTCTCGTTTCTCACCTTAGGGAAACCGGGCCATTTTTACAAAGTCTCTACCACCGGGGCCAGAGGACACACGCCAAGACTGAGAGCCAGACAGGCAGAGGTGTTTTCACCCAAGGGCAGCACGTTTTCCGGTTGTGATGGGGCCTTAGTCTGCGTCTGGTTTCCGGCAGCGGTGGGCCTGAGGGTCCCTCTGCCTCTGGCCTTGGGCTCCACGGCTGTCTGTGGGCCATGCGACCAGCCTGTCAAACAGGCTCTGTGGAAGCCCTCAGAGGCATGTTTGCGCGTTAGGGGCCTCCTGGTTTCCCCCGTCAGCTGTCAGGGCTGGAGTTGTTGGCAAGGCTTTAGCCATTCATATCTAATCCTGCGGCCTGATGGATGGAGGCGGTTTCGCTTTATTGTCCCTCGGAGGCAGCCGGGCTGCAGAAGGCTGTGGTGGAAGTTGCTCCCAGGTCTGCAGCCATTTATGGGCAGAGCCAGCGCCTGCTGTGTTCCCCGCCAAACACAGAGGGCTTGGTAGTGCAGGTCATATCCTGCCAGGTGACCTTGGCAAGTCACTGCTCCAGCCTCCACTGCTCCAGCCTCCACTCTTCCAGCCTCCACTCTCCAGCCTCTCAGAGTGTCATGTCCCTCATCTTATAAATGATATAATAAGCCTTCTCTCTTGCTGTCACCAGTTTTTCCCTTTTTATTGGATCTTTCCCACTGGCAGACAAGCATGCTAAATTGTTCCTACTTTACAACGGATTAAGCAAAAGCCAACCAACCAAACAAAACCCCAAAAACTCATGGACTCAGACCACGGTATGGTGCTTATCAGAGGGAAAACAATAGGGTGATTACCAGCGGACAGATGGAGGTAGAAGGGAGGTAGAAGGGCATAAATAGTGATGGAAGGAGACTTGATTTGGGGTGATGAACACACAATTCAATATACAGGTGATGTAGTATAGAATTGTACATCTGAAACCTATATCATTTTATTAATCAATGTCACTCCAATAAATTCAATAAAAAAAATAGAAAATAAAAAAGGAATTTCATTGTATGAATGTAATCCATGCAACCAGACCCCCTACTGATGAACACTTGAGTTGCCTGTGGTCTTTTGCTATTAAAATAAGGCTGCAGTGCATGTCTGCGTGGTCATGTTCGGTGAGGGATGTCTGGGGGGTAGGTTCCTGGAACTGTGGATGAAGGAGAGACTCCGAGAAGTTGCACAGGGCTTGTGCTCTTTTATGTTCTGAATCAGTTTAAGGTGTGTTGTCTATCGCTTGTGACTTAAAGAGACCTCCCTGACTCTATACCTAACGCACAGGTTTGCTGTGAGTGTTGTAGTAACGTATAAAAATGTTTTTTAAAAAAATGTCTAAAAATGTTTAAAAAGGTTTTAAAATGTTTGAGTTAACTTTCCTGAATTGGTATTGCGAAAAACACATCAGATAAATCAATTGCTGCCATGAATTTTGGGTTATCACTTTGAGTTATATTAATGACGTTGCTCGCATCTGGGAGTGTGCCCTCCATAGGGGGCGAGCATTTATTTAGGTTCCTATAATCGATAGTAATTCTATAAGTGCCATTAGGTTGTTTTTTTTTAACTGGCCAAATTGGGCAATTGTATATATGAGATCTGCCTACTTCAATAATATCTTCCTTTAGAAGTTTCTCAATTGCCTGTGTTACTTCTTGATGGCCTCCTTTGAGGGGGTATCGTGGTGTAAATGAAGCCTTAAAAGGTTCTGGTCGTGTAATGGGTAGTATATTGACCGCTGTCAGTTTGCATTGGAATGTAGCCCTGGGGATTTTTCTATTATATCAATTAAAGTTGGTAAAGTATCCATGCCTAAAAGATTTTTGAGTGAGGGGTGCACGTAGAAGGTTGTTGCGATTTTTAATCCTTTGTAAAGGATTGTCCCTCGTCTTCCTGACGAAGTAATTGAATTTTTTGTGATTCCTTCTATGGATATTTTATTATTCTATTGATAATTCCCCTTTAATAAAGTTACTTGGGATCCTGTGTCTATAAGGAAAGATGTACAAAGCGGTTCCTTGCTGTCCTGAAAGAGCACTTGTAAGGTAATGTATGGCCTGTTATCTTTTTGTATGTAGTTTGTCCACAGGCCACATGATGGCACTGTGTCCTTTAAAATTGTAAATGCCCCCCACCTCCCCTTCGTTGCTGATTCTTCCAGCAGGGGGCTCTGGAGTTTCCCTGTTTGGCATTTCCTTGTAGGAAAGGGTTAGTATTCTGTTGCCTAGGGAATCCAGAGGGTTTTTCTTGTGCTAGTGTTTGTTTGAAAGGATTGTTCTCCTGTTTGTATCTGTCTTTGTAATTCTCCCTAAATGGATTATTGCTTCCCCAGTATTGTGCCTGTTTTTTAAAAAATATATTTTATTGATTTTTTTACAGAGAGGAAGGGAGAGGGAGACGGATGGAGAGTTAGAAACATCCATCAACTCCCTACTGGGGATGTGCCCGCAACCAAGGTACATGCCCTTGACTGGAATCAAACCTGGGACCTTTCAGTCCGCCGGCTGACGCTCTATCCACTGAGCCAAAGCAGTTAGGGCTGTGCCTGGTTTTTTAAGTAATTTGGTGACTGTGATTTTTCTTTAAAATTATTCTGTGATCTAAATGGGCCTCTATATGAGTTCTTATCATTATTGGTACGTGTATATTGTTGTGAGTTAGGTCTTCGATAAAATCTACCTCTGGCGTTTCTATTTAAGTTAGGCATTGTCTGATATATAAAAGTTTCTGGTCTTAAGCCTTCCTTTGCAGCAAAGGAAAATTGTCTAGTACTTATAATATCTTCATGTAGCTGTATCCTGTTTCTAATTTCCTCCGCAGAATTTGCTGATCCAACGAGAGTTTGTAATTGTGTTTTATACTCATCGGGGCTCCTAATATTAAGGTCTTAATGATTCCTGATACATTTCTACTTTCCCATGGGGATCCTAGTCCTTCCTGGTACATTCCCATTAGTATTACCAGTTCTCTAAGTTGTGACTGGAGTTCTTTTATGCTGTTTCATTTACAGGAGAAGTTTGTTGATGTTAAATCTAGGACTGGATATGATTTTCCATGCCCTGCTGATCCATTCCCATAATGACAGCACTACATCCCCTGGTTCATCTATTAATAGTTTTAATTGGTATTGGATTTTAGAATTCTCAGCGGCATCTATGACTGCCTTAAGCTCTTCTTTTGAAAGTAAAGTGGTATTTCCCCTAGTTTCATAGATTTTTATGAGCCAATCTACGTCAGTCAGTTCTGCTTTAATAAATACTTTTCTTAGATCATTAAATTCACTTCTATTGTATGCTGTGAACTCAATGGTCTCCTCTGTTCTTGGCTGTTCTGTTTTAATTTGCTTTTTTTTCTGATTATTGTTAGGTCTGCCTTTACTTTTTGTATAACTTTTCTTACTAAATCTTTTCCTTTTAACCTATCTTCACCTCCTTTTTCAATTGTTTGTAATAATATTCCTGTAATTTCTTTTGGTTTCGCCCAGTCATTATGGGGTTTATATGTCTTGGTTCGGTTAGATCACACTGAATGTCTTCTACTATAGGTATTTTATATTTTGTCCTAAGAGTTTCTTCTGTCATCCTCCATGGGCTCTCAGAGCTAGTGTTAAAAGGAGGATCTTTCTTTTTAAATAAGTTCTTAAAAAATGTTTTCATTCGCCCCATTTTATTCTTGCTCCGTATCTGCCAAAAGGGCAGAAACCTTCCTTACGTGGATATTTAAATTCTAATTTAAGCCTACCTTTTAGTTTCAGTTTCTTTTGTATTATAAGTTTAGCCTTTAATAGCCAGCCTTTCATATGGTAATTTCTCCAGAGTTATTGTAAATCTCCCCCTTTTTAGTGTGATCAGCACTGGGGAGTTATTTTGTTATTCGGTCCTTTTTATAATTTACTAGAGGCCCAGTGCACGACATTTGTGCACTTGGGCTGAGGGGTCTCTTAGCCCAACCTGTGCCCTTTCGCAGTCCAGGAGCCCTAGGGGGATGTCAGACATCCTTAGCGCTGCTGTGGAGGCGGGAGAGGCTCCTGCCACCACCTTTGTGCTTGCCAGCCATGAGCCTGGCTTACAGCTGAGCAGTGCTCCCCCTGTGGGAGCGCACTGACCACCAGGGGGCAGCTTCTGCGTTGAGCATCTGCCCCCTGGTGGTCAGTGTGCGTTATAGCGACCAGTAGTTCTGCGTTCAGTCGATTTGCATATTAGCCTTTTATTATATAGGATAATTTAGAAAATCCAATGGAGTCAAATACCTGGTTTGACTGCTGACTGCACCAATTGTCTGAGAAAGGAAGGGTGTTATCCGAGGCATCCCTTTGGATAAACTTAATCATGCAGGCGTTCGGACATATCAAGTAGTTGCCAGCAAAGAGACTACTCTGAGCAGGCAGGACCAAGGGTAGGCATCATCATCTGACCTTATAATTAAAACACGTAATATTATAGAGACTGCCAGAGGAATTATATCACACAAAATTATGCAGTTGCAAATCACACAGCACTTTATTACTCACACAAATTCCTGGTGCTGTGGGTACAGACTTAACGGGATCCCAGTGACATTGAGGTTCCTCTCGCAGCAGCTGTGGTGCCATCTCAGCTGGCAGGGTCTGGTCAGGACCAGTTTCTTCATGGCGTTCCAGCCCGGGTCTCGGTGTGTGAGCCGGACGGGTGTACTGCCGTCTTCTGTCATCTGGCAGGAGCAAGGGTGCAGAAAGAGGTGCGGGCACCTGAGATCCAGAGGTTCAGAGCGCCCGTCTCAATGGGCACTGAGCTGTGGAGGCAGCACCCAGACCAGGGCCGATCAGCGATGCCAAAGGCAGTCCAGCGATCAGCCACTAGCGGAGAGCTCAGAGCGATCAGCGACAGCAGCGCGTCCAGCAATCAAGCAATGATCGAAGAGGTCTCTTTGGGGATCCGTTTTTATAGCCTGTTCGTACCCACAGCAGTCCAGGAGTTTATCTTATAATTATGTCAGGGCTACAAGTGTTAATCAGCAATTACATAGGTGAACATCTATCTATCATAGCAAGTCACTCTAAGTCAGTAATCGAAGTTCGAATCCTTATCTATGGGGGACACACGCTCAGGGAAGTGGGGTATGTGTCCTTACTATCACGCTTTAAGTTTCAGGAGTGTTAACTCAAACATTTTAAAACCTTTTAAAACATTTTAAGGTATTTTTAAACATTTCTATATGTTACTACAACAGGGAGGTTTGAATGAAGTAGCACTTAGCGAAACATGGCACACAAATAAGACTCAATGAATGGTAACCAATATTGTTGTCAGGCTGTATGTATTTCACAGAGGTCTGTGTGCTTTTTATTCTAGACCCGAACATGGACATGTTTCTGTTTATCTTTTGGGGGGTATTATCCCATTTCTACCCCCAAAAAAGAGAGGCTGAGGGAGGGGCTGACCAGCTGGAGCCTCAGTGCCGACACAGAGCCGTGTGGGAGGTTCTCGTTCCAACGACGTCTCCTTTCCGTCCTTCGATGCTATTCGTCTGCATCCAGCTGACACCCAAGTGTTTTCAGTGAAGCGCTCCCACTGCCTTTTTCAGAAACCCGAGTCCACACGAAGACAATGGCAACAAGCAGAAGGTGCGAACGCTCCCAAGCAGGCCCCGGTTTGGAAAACGTGATAAAGCGGTTATTGTGTGTCCGAACTTTTCACACAAGAATTGGAGGAGATTTAACACCAGGAATAATAAACAGAGGGAGGCCGGCTAATGCAGAGCAGATGGGCCCACAGAGTAGCGCTGAGCATTTCAACGTCTTTCCCCTCGGACCCTTGGACCCAAGATGACGAGTGCTGGACTCGTTAGTTAAAGATAAAGTTTGTGCAATGGGGAAAACAATAAATATGGCTGGTTTGATTTCTGGGGCAGTGAGGGGACTAAAGATTTTAAGACCCTTCTATGTGGCAGGCATTCATTGCTTTAATCCTGGCCACAGGTCCATTTTACAGATGAGAACACCGAGGCTCTGAAAGTGTAAATCGCTTCCTGCAGGGCCCTCAGCCAGCATGAAGTGGATCAGTGCAAGGTCTGTCTCATTGCGTATGCATGCCACAGTTCTGCAAACTGGGGCAACAGGTGAGCAGGGAACGTGGGTCACGGTCAGCCTGGCTGGTGTGGCTCAGTGGTTGAGTGACAACCTATGAATCAGAAGGTCACCAGTTCGATTCCCCATCAGGGCACATGCCCAGGTAGCAGCAGGCTTGTTCCCCAGTAGGGGGCGTGCAAGCAGCAGCCAATTGATGTTTCTATCTTTCCCTCTCCCTCTCTCTGAAATCAATAAAAACATATTTAAAAAAATAAGAGTGATGGTCAAATAAATTTTAGAAACACTGACCTCTATGAACACAATAACAGTCTTATTGAAGTGGCATTGATGTACAATAGCTATATGTAGTTAAGCCATGAACTTGGCAAGTTTTGCCATATGTCTGTACCAGTGAAACCATCACCATAATGAGGATAGAGAACATATCCATTACTCCCAGAAGTTTTCTCCTGCCCCTTTGCAATTCCTCCCCCCTGTCCCTCTCACCCTTGATCTCAGACAACCATTGACACTATGTCTGACTCTCACTCTAGCAATGAGACAAAATGTGGTTTTGATCCATAATAACGTTGGAAAACGGGAAGGGGTTTCCGTGTGCTTTCTGTCACCACGGATTACATTTTCGAGAGTTTTCTATAAATGGAATCATATGTACTCTTTTTTTTTTTTTTTGCCTGTCTCCTTGTACTCAGCAATAATGACTTTGAGATTTATTCATGTTATTCCATGTTTGTTGTGTTATATTACTGAGTAGAATTCCCCTTGTATGAATATGCCACAATTTGTTCCTCTATTCATCTATAGATGGACTTTTAGGTTGTTTCCAATTTGGGGCTATTACAAATAAAGTAGCAATGAACGTTGGTGGTCAAATGTTTGTATGGCATATGCTTTCTTTTCTCTTAGATAAATACCTAAGAGTGGAATGGCTAGATCATATGCTAGGTATGTGTCTAGTTTGTAAACTGTTTTCCAAAGTGGTTGCACCATTTCGCACTCCCACCAGCAGTGAATGAGAGTTCCTCCTCCTCCTTGCCAGCACTTGGAATAGTCAGGCTCTCTCATTTCTGCCATTTTAACAGGTAAGTAGTGGTATCAGGTTTTCTTATGGTTTTAATTTGTGTTTCCCTCCCAACCAATAATATTCAGTATGTGTTTTGTGCTTGTTTACCATCTACATGCCTTCTTTAGTTAAGTGTTTGTTAAAATGTTTTGCATATTTTTAATTGAGATGTTTCTTATCATTGAGTTTTAAGAGTTCTTTACATATATATTGGATACAAAGTCTCTTAATTGATATCTGCTTTGCAAATATTTTTTTTCCCTAACCATGTCTTTTAAAGATAGAAGTTTTTTAATTCTGGCAAAGTCCAATTGATATTCCACATCTCTTAAATTTTATTTCATAATTTAAAAATCTCAGCTACTTTCTGGCAAATTCCTCTGGCTTGATTTTAACAACTTACAAATATGCTCTTTTAGCAACCTATTCTACTGTTCAGCCTATATGGTGACATTTTTTTTTTCAATTATCAAATTTTTTAAATAAAAAATCATTCACAACATTTGCTACATGGGAATCTTGCATCTCCCGGAGAGTGTTAATTATTCAGTTCAGCTCAGTGTATGAGCTCCATTTCCTTGAGTGTAAGTTCTACACTTGGTCAAAGGGTGATGTCTTTTGTGCACAGAGCGGGTTTTCACAGTGGCTGGGTGATTCTTCGCTGAGGAGTCAGCCATCCGTTTGAGGATCCCTGATGGCCGATCTTGGTTTAGTGAAGCCTACTTCCAGGATGAGCAGTGACACTCAGACATAGTGCCACCCTCTGCTCTTTCACCACCTTCAACTTTTTGGTATTTCTTTGCTTCATCCCTCGACCTCCTGTATTCCTTCAATGTCCACCTCATTTTTCCTCATCTCTCCCCGCCCCGAACTCCTCTTTAATGGATCAGCTCTTAACCCTTCACATCTCAACTGAGATGCTGCCTTAGGGAAGCCATTAGCTCCATTCCCTGGACAAAAACCAAAAAACAAGACCCCTCCCTCTGTACTCCTAAATCACTCTTTACCACCACCCCACCCCCCGCCCCTATTTCAATGTCTTTCGTATTGTAATTAACTGGTTTCTCATCAGCTTCCCCCCCTGGTCTGCTCTCTGGACAGGGAAGGAAGCCCATGAGAAACCAGTTCATTACAATTAAGGAAATCGCTAAGGGAGACACTTTAGGACAGGGGTGGGCAAACTTTTTGACTCAAGGGCCACAATGCGTTCTTAAACTGGACCGGAGGGCCGGAACAAAAGCATGGATGGAGTGTTTGTGTGAACTAATATAAATTCAAAGTAAACATCATTACATAAAAGGGTACGGTCTTTTTTTTTTTTTTAGTTTTATTCATTTCAAATGGGCCGGATCCGGCCCGCGGGCCGTAGTTTGCCTATGGCTGCTTTAGGAGATGCCACAGATGGTTCACATTGGGCAGCTGGTGCACTGTGCTTTGACAGTTCACTAAAGTGACTGTGGAGAGAACCCCGAGGAGCCCAACTGTCGTGGACGCTGAGGAGGACAAGGTCCTGGACGCTGGGCCGTTGTTCCATCCTCAGCCCTCCACAAGGCACACCTGGCTCACATGGGATGCCCAGGTCTTGAACGTTTTAAGCCAAAGGAGGCTCTGAAAGGGCCGATTTAAAAACGAAGCCAGCTGAAGAACAGTGTTATGCATTTCTCTCTTTTACTTCAAAGAAAAACAGCTCTTTGAAAAAAGAGCGAAATAGATAGCACAGTACCAATGGCATTCAGTTGCTAACGTTTACCAGTGGCCTCCCATGGGCCAGACAGCACCTTGCTCATCTCATTCAGTCCCCACCGCAGCCCTTGGACACGAGTTTCTCTTTACAGAGAAGGAAACTGAGGCCTGTCGAGGTTGAAGAACGTCTCAGGCTCACATATCTGGACTGAGTGAATATATGTGTGTCCTCCCCTGCCCCCAGATTCATATGTTGAAGTCCTATCCCCAGTGTGGCTGTATTTTGAGTAAAGGTATTTTGTAATTAAGGTTAAATGAGGTCATAAGGGTGGGGCTCCGATCTGATATGATTAGTGTCCTTATACGAAGAGACACCTGAGCCCGGCCGGTGTGGCTCAGTTGGTTGAGCGTCATCCTGTGCACTGAAAGGTTGCCAGTTCGATTCCCAGTACAGGAGACAACGGACCTCTCTCTCTTCCTTTCTCTAGGCATGTCTTTGGGTGAGGCTTTTAAAATAAGACACCTGAGCACTTGTGGGCTCGCCATGGGTGCGTCCTTGGAGGGGACCAGGCGAGTCCACAGCAAGAAGGTAGTCGTCTGCTGCCTAAGGGGAGAGCTCTCACCAGACTCCAACCCTGATGGCACCTTGGTCTTGGACTCCCAGTCTCCAGGGCTGTGAGGAAATTCGTTTCTGTTGATTAAGCCTGCCTATGTTTTTGTTACGGCGGTCCTAGCAAACTCCTACAGCTGGCAGCCCCCTGCATTGGGATTCTAGGCACCAGAGCCCACATTAATCACCCATTTAGAAATTTCTGTGTTTCCACAAGTGGCATGCTGGCTTTAGTCTTTAAGTTGAGGTGGGAAGTGTGTTTAAACTTGGCATTGGGATGTACAGTTCTATTCTAACATTGATGGTTATTACTTAAAGCCCTTTCACTGAATCTTGGTGGTGGGGGGGACCATTTCTTTCAAGCATGGAAGCAGGTTGGAAATGTTGCAACTAGTAATAATGGTTGGACTTTTGGCTTAGGAAATACTTCAGGGGGAAAGAATTTGCTTAAATCTCTGCCTGCTATTAGAGTTGAAGGTTTGGTGATAGGAGTTGCCCTTCCCCTGAACTTCCTGGATTGCAAGACCATGTGGAAATGTAGTTTGTCTCATCTAAAAAATAAGGGCAGGTAACTTTTGAAGAACTGGCATCAAAAGTGCATTTAGCCGAGCTTCTAACACTCGGAGCATGATTATCTGGTGTGTGAATGCTCTTGGCCCTTTTTCTTCTTCTCTCCCTCCTTTAATAATGGGAGGAGCTGTCTGGCCATTGCCCACTTTTTCCACATGTTGGCTGGTCTCCTCCTTACCTCTGCTGGCAAAGTCCCTCTGCTCAAGTGGGTGTTGGCCCCTCAACAGAAGACAGGGCTGTAGGCAGAATAGATGGATACTGTGGGCGGCCTTTGGATCTACTTTTTTTTTAAATCCTCACCCAGGGATATATTTTTATTGATTTTAGAAAGAGGAAGGTTGAGAGGGGGAGAGAGAAACATCAGTGTGAGAGAGTTGCTTCCTGTACTACATGCCCCAACTGGGGATGAAACCCATAATCTAAGTATGTGCCCTGACTGGGAATCGAACCCTAGAACTGTTGGTGTATAGGGTGCTGCTCCAACCAACTGAGCCACCTGGCCAGGGCCGTTGGCTCCACTTTCTTCCCCTGTTGCATGAAGGTCAAGTTTCTGTTTCACTTGGTGGGTGGGCAGACAGCTTTGTGTGCACTGCTCTTAATCCATGACCCTCTTTCTCACTGGCTTTCACTTTGATGAGAGCTTTGGCCTAATGGACATAGCATCTCCTACATCCCCTGCTGGCCTCTATAGACAATTTAGACTGTACACAAGGATAGGTGGATAGATAGATCTATTGGGAAGAACAGCCTATAATCTCGATCATAACCGTTATTAGCATTTTATGCGGTCAACTTCCTTTTATGTCCATGTGTACACTTAGATGCATGAAAAT